AGCCCCGGACAGCCACGCCAACTGTGGAACCACAGCTCAAGTCTAACCTTAGGATCTAGGGTTTACCGTGTAGGGCTTCAGGGTGTTGCGGTTTTTGGTGTAGAGTCTTTAGGTCTAAGCTTTAAGGTTCATCGCTTGAGGCCCTTAATCCAGCGGGGTCTCTACGTACCAAGTATAAATCCTTCATGTGCTCTGGAGAAACTTCAGAGTTTCTCCGGAACCTCCAAACCTCAACCCAAAAAGCTAAACCCTAGAGTCCCCGTTAATTTAAGTAGATAGAATATGGCTTTGGGCATATTATAATAAGATACCAATATACCGCATATGCTATCTACTTAAGGGTGACTATAAATCGGGAATGGCTTTAGAACTTCCCTGGAAGAGTTTGACTCGGCATTCTTCCAGCACTTCCAGATCAATTACTGATATAAACCGCACCCCGCCGCCTCTACCATCAAATACTGTCGACATACGAACACCTTCATACTGCTAAAAAGTCCCCAACCCCTTCTATGACATAGATTCGGGATCAAGGGGGGGTAGTCCATATTTGAAGGAAGGATTATGGCCCCAGCATGACCCCGGCATGCTCGAGTTCATCAGTCTGAAGGCAGAAGGACCCTTTCTCAGGAGTTTTGCTTGGTATCCTTAGGGTTTGTATCCGTGGGCTTGGATAGCTAAGCCATAACATGTAATAGGTTTAGGGTTGGGGGTCCAGGGTATTGAGGTCTTTCGATGCATCTGGGACCACAAACATTCCCTGAGAATCCAACAGCCCTCAAAATTGAGGCGGTTAGTAACAGCCCTGAAAATCAAGGCGATTATGTCAGGTGTTATTTTTGGGTTTTATTTGAATTAGCATTGTGAGTCCACACAGAGCATGTTCATGATGGGTTTTCTGTTGGAAAGTGTTGGAAAGTCAGTTTTCTAGCCCATTACTTCTGGTTGGGCCACCTGTGGAAGGTACTCGTACGGCGGGGTTTGATACGAGAACCTTGAATATACTTGAAAGCAGAGAAAACATGCAGGAGCGTTGCCTGTGTGTCCAGGTTTCAAGGGTTGGATTGTGATGTGACGGCGTAACCCCCCTCCCAACCTTTGGACCGCCGGTGCCGATCCGCGTCATGTTTGCTGCCACAAAGCATACAGAATCAGCGGGGGGTGCCAGAGTCACGCCAAAGTCACGCTAGAGTCACGCTCTAGAGGCCCGATTTCTTTTCTCTTAAGTAGGCTCCTGGACTATTGAAAAACAGGGTCACGCTAGAGTCACGCCTAGCCAGGGCCCCTAGAATCCAGGAAAACCCGTCGAAAACCCTCAGAATGCCTCTACTTCCAGCCGTCTCTTCAGGCGTTCCATACGTGGTCATGCACAATTCTGTGCCATCCAACCAGTAGTTGCGTGTATCATTGCGTAAGGACTTTCGCATCCACACTGCAGGTGGATGCCATTGACTTCGCCTATGAAGTCTGTTATACTATGCCACTAGAGCACCCGTGCGTCAATGATTTGATCAAACAAAAAACACCCAGTAAGCGGGACAAATTCTCCACAGAAACGCCGTGATTCTTTCGGCCTAGCACTCACGGCTCCCGAGCAAGTCATAACCTAAGGCAGTGATAGAATTTTCTGGGCGGTTATGCCCTGTTGATAACCTCCCTGTATTTTGAGGCGGTTGATTGGCAGGGATTAGAATACACACCTCAAACGAACAAGCGTTTAGAAGTAATCTTCGCGCTGGGTACCCTTCAAGGCGGACTAAATGAGCGATATATGAGCCGTAGGTGGGGGTTCCCACCTGGCAACTAAACCCTAAACCTCCTACCCGAAACCCAAAACCCCCAAACCCCCAAAGCTACACTCTAGACCCCCCTACCCTAAACTCTATAAACTTTGAATCCCTAAACCCTAAATCCCTAAACCCTAAACCTTAAACCCTTACTATAACCCTAAACCCCTTTGATAGGGTTTAGGGTTTAGGGATAGATATATATATATAGTGGAACATGTAGGGATGCATGGGTGATTCATAGGTTGAGAAGACAGGGTCTAAGGTTTAGAGTCTAGCATGTTAGTGCTTAGGGCTCATGATCAAGGACTTTTGGACTTGCTGAAAAACAACGTGGGTTTCGGGTTCCCATGCAGTTGCCTAACCGAATGAATGAAGTCTGCGAAAACAAAGCTCCAACATAGCCCCTTCACCCAACACCTACCAGGACTCTCTCTGTGTTCAAAGACCGCCCCATGCAAAACTATGCCCCCAAAATCTTGGGATGTGCCACATGGAACGTTGTCAAAATCAGGGTCCCTTTGTGAGTCCCAATTAGAAGTTTAAGGTTTGGGGGTCAGGGTCTAGCGGTTTAGGATGTAGGGGTTTAGGATCTAGGCACTCGGGATATGAGGGTCCCTATACTATCAAGGTTGGTCTCGGCGACCATTTGAGATAAGTTTAGCCATACTTGGAGGGTCTCGGTTCAGGCTCCCGTTCCCAACTTAGCAGGAAGCAAGGAACCCCCCCAAGCTATTGCAATATACACCTTCTTCTGCATGACACTCATCTTTCGCAACATACCTTGACAAAGCATGGCTACCTAAACCGTTGGCATCGCCTTGTTTTGCCGGAGGACCCCGGTAGGCCCCCGACTGCACACGCCGGCAGATTGGCCCAGCTGTCGGCGAGGGCTTGCTGGGTTTCTGCCTACCAAGGGGCAGAGTTTAGGCTTTAGGGCTTTTCCTTCGGATTTTTTTCGCGCTGGTACCCACGAGCTCCACATGGCCTAAGCTAGGTACTACTGATGGACTTTGGGGCCCAAACCACAGTACTCGTAGGTATCATAGATTAGAGCCTCAGGGCTTGGAAGAAGAGGTTTAAAACATGGGCCTCTGGTAGTCTCAGGGCATCCCCTTCTTTCCGGTTGTGAATACAGGTCAAGGGGTCCCTGGGGTTTAGGGTGTAGGGCTCCGGCCCTGGAATCCCCCAATATGGTCGCAGTTTTCATGTTCCTTTCCATTCCCCAAGCGCCAAACCCTGAACCCTTAATAGTGGTTCCCATTTCCTTTTTCCTATTCCTCTAGGTCCAAGGACCCAAATGATAGGGCTTTAGAGCCCAAATACTATAATATTAATGGTACTTGGGCCCCAAAACCCTATGACTGGGTCCTCGGACCCTGAGGGTATTCCTCCATTCCCAACCCTAAGCCCTAAACCTTAATAAGCCCTACAAAGCTCCAACCCTACGCCCTAAACCCTGAAGCCTAACATTGATCGTTGAGGCTTCAGGGTGATGCCTTAAAGCCTGGAATAGGGATTAGGGTTTAGGGACCCTAAACCCTGAACCCTAAACCGGAAGTCTTCAACGCGAGCCGCGAAAACACACAAACTTTCGACCCCCGCCCCCCCCCAAACTCTAACTCTTAAAAAACAGGCCTCATACCCCAGTCCTTGAACATTAGTCCGCTATCCTCCCCCAAGCAAACATGGAAGCTGACATGGTCTTTGTAATTAAGGCCTTTCAAGTGAGTTTGGGGGAGTCTAAAACCTATCCCTAAAATCCATAAATCTTGAATCCTACACATCATAATATCCCCAAATCCTGAATCCTAAGCCGAACCTCTCCCCCCTCACAAAAACCTAAGACCGACGAGGCCTCGACAAGGGTACATCATTCCGATCCACCACGACCTCCATGGCATCAGCCTGGAACGTATATGAGACATAGTCTCTAAACTCTTGACAGGGGGTTATATAGGGGATTATATAGGGGAGTATCCTTCATTATAGGGACTATTCAGGAGGATACTAGGAGTTTACATTATAGCTCATATTTTGGTCTAGGCTTAAGGTAGATTTTAGCGGCCTTTGGGGTTTCCGGATTCAGGGGCTTGAGGCCTTTCAGGGTTGCAGGTTTCAGGAGCAAGGGCTTTGCAGTAAGGTGCAAGGTCTCGGGTTGACCATTTCAGGCTTTGCACTTTGGGAACCTCTGGCAACTTGGGTGCAGGAATGGAAATTTATGGGTGATACCTAAATGGGTCCTCAAGTCTGTACATGGCACCCGCGCTGGGCTATTTGGATCCCACGGGCTTTGGAATCAGAGTAGACCCTTGAACATCCTCAAACCCGAAACCCTAATTGAGCGCAACCGCAGAACGCATTCATTCTATGGAGCATTCTGCGGCTTAGGGCGTAGCGTATTCCCACCAAGGGGCGGTCTGCATTCTTTGGGCCAGTATTATTGAGGAGGACTACGGTCCAGGGTTGAGGGTTTAGCAAGTCCAGGAGGCTTTGGAGCTATCGTGTGCCACCGTGTAGGGTCGGTAAACGCACAAAATGTCTTTGTCGAGAAGGCTTACAACTAGGATTGGAACACGAAAAACAACTCCTCACTGAAAGAGGCTACTAAAACCTTCCATCTGCCCTCTATAATGCACTGATTTTTAGATACCCGCTATTTAGGACCACATACTCCTACAACCCCTTTTCAAAGGCACGAAAGACCATGGTAGGGAAACAATCATAGGCGCCCTGGGCTGCTCCGGAGTCCTTTCCGCGGGCGTTGAGCTTGTTTCTAGCAAGACCAGCTGTGTCAGAACTCCCTCACGGTTAGGGATTTTACTGCATAGGGCTTAGGGGTCTGGTTTAGGGATTAAGGACTAGGAGTTCAGGCGTAGGGTTAGGGTTTAGGGCTAAGCATCTATCTCTGCCCGTGGGATGATGAAGCTCCCCTTTCTGAACAACTAAGCTGACAAACAGCTCCCTTTCTCTGCCACAAGAAAAGTGTAACCATGAGAGAGGCGGCCTATTTGTGCTATGCCAAACATGGAGATTTCTGATACATTCTGAGATCTCAGGGATATGGTTACGAATTCTACAAGACACTGGAAGGCTCATTTTTGCGAGCAGATATGGTCAGCTCTGACGAAAGCGCGGACTGTACAAGCCGGGACGTGATAAAGGAGGCAGCATGAGCATTGGCAGGAATAGGAATCACTCATTCAGAGGAGCCTAGACTGTGCCGAGAAGTTCCTCTGCAGTGTAAGGATATCCTAATCTTCTTGCGAAGGACTGATACTTCGCCAACAGGGGCGCTGGCATCGCGAAAGCTGCACGCAACGCCGTCTTTTCACAGTCAGCGTCGTTCGTGTGACCGGGTTCCTGTGCTCCTGGATGTCGATGAAGGTCGCCAATTCTCGCCCCCTCCAAGGCCGTTTGCCGGTCTTCTGGGGAGATCTGGGCACCCTCCAACCAAAAGTCAAGGAGCCGGTTGGCTTCAGAGTCAAATCCCTCCGATGATGCTACGGCGATTTCATAGCGGATTCGGAGCGTGTCCTTGCGCTCGAACTCATATAGCCCAGTCATGTTCTCAATCATTTCTGTCATCTGTTCCGCCACGTAGGGGAGGCCCACCTGTGGCGACATGTGCACTACCTCTCCTCTGCCAAAGAGCGGGTGCCACTTCTCCATCCCTCGGTGGTGGTAGCAGTAGGCTGAGGCGATCATCGTCAGCGGATTGCGCACGCAGCCGGCGAGGCGGAGGGTGCGGTTTGCTGCACGCCTCGACTCCTGAGTTGCTGTTAAGGAACTTAAATAAAGTTACTATATTTGGGAAAACCAAGTTACTATATTATCCCCCTATAATGGAGAAACAAATGGAAAAGGAAATGGAAAATGAAATGGAAACTGGGGGAACATAGGGATTTAAGGAACTTAAGTTAAGTTACTATACTGGGGAAAACCATATTACTTACTATGTATACCCACTATGGTAACTTACTTTAAATTCCTTAACAGCAACCCAGACTCCTCTTCATGGATCTCGGGAGAGTAGAAGTCGAACCAGAATCGGACCGGAGAGTCCCAGTTCCTACAGTCAAGTTTGACGTAGCAGGGCTCGGTCCGAACACTGTACTGATTGTAGCCCAACACTTCCCAAAGGCCTTCGAACATTCGCTCCCCCATGGTGAGCCCAGCTTTGTGAAAGAGAGCGCCATTGATGATATACAAATCCGAAGGCGCTAGGGGAAATCGTTGCGGTGATGGACGCTGCCACCTCGAAGTGCTGTGGATCTGCGCCGCTTTTCGCTGGACCATGCACGTTGCTGGTGCCACCTCTGCTTTGGCGCGACATTGCCTTGGTGAACCCTTCGAAAGCATATAGGGTCCTTCTGAAACCAATTAAGGAAAATATTAAGTATCTCAAAGGTCAACCCAGTTGCTTTAGAACCAGGGCCACAGCTGCCAATGCAGTCAGTCTCAAAGCCATGATGCGACTCCCAGGTAACAGGAAACCATCAAACACAGCCGGCAAATGTGAAGAAGGGGTATGCGGAATCGAGAATCAGTGAGGTTACTTTTCCTACTGGCGCCCAGGGATCCTCAGAAAACTCCCTACATGATCCCCATTAATACCCCTAAGGTAGTCCCTACATTCGCTCCCCAAGCCACCCTTAGGCACCAGTAAGTTTTGATCCTTGTGCCAACATGGCTACGGCCTCAAAGCCTTCAGCCTCTAGCCTTACAGGGCTTCCAGACAAAAGGCAGCCAGGACCCGCAACCCAGTAACATGGACCACAAGCGGAGAATTTTGGTTACGTCAGCTGCTGTTGAATTCCTCACTTATCACGATATTACTCAGGTTGCATAGTGTGGGGGGGGCGGGGGCACCGCATGCATCAGTTTAGAGCTCAGGGCTTTGGGTTTACGATTCATGGGCTTAGGAGTTCTGAGAAGCTAGGCTTTGTACAAAATTCTCCCTCGACCTGACAGACACCCTGGTACCGAAAGGGACCGCAAGTCTGCGAAAGCCATAAGCAGGGACTTTGCTGGGTTGCTGTTAAGGAACTTAAATTAAGTTAGCATAATGGGATAGTAAATAATAGGGTTTCCCCAATATAGTAACTTAATTTAAGTTCCTTAACAGCAACCCAGCTTGTTAAGTTTGTATGAAAGTGTTGGGAGGGTTCTCGACATGTGGACACCCTTAGGGAATCTGGGGAAATAAGTGATTATGAGGGGGTTGCGCGGGGCTACTTGGGGGGCTATTGTGAAAATGCACAGAGGAGGTGGTGCTCCAGGGGCTGGGGAGTTTTTTGTAACAGGTTAGGTGGACCCCCCGCCCTGCAATAGTGGTATAATAGGAAAATAAGAGGACCTTAACATATTCCTTATTATCCCTGACCCTGAACCCTACACCACAAACCCTAAACCCTATTATCCCTTATATCACTATCACTGGGTGCGGGGGTCCACCTAAGCTATAGGGTGCAAGGCTCTGCATCGGAAGTGCTGGACCAAGATGGACAGGGGTCAGGAGTCTAGCGGTTTCCCTGGCACTTTCCCAACGAATTCCAAGTACCTGAATAAGGGATACTCGCCCAAAACCTGTTACTAACTCATTATGTAGAAGCCCTGCTTTGTGCCATATAGATACTTAAGGAGCCTCTGGGTTTGAAGGAGACACACCGGGAGTGTCAAAATTGCAGACTCAGAAGTTTTCTACGAATCACTGTAGTGTCGAGTGCTTAAGGTTTAGTGGTTTAGGGTTTAGGCTTAGGGGCATACTCTCATCAAATTGTGACCACTCCGTTTCCAACACAATACATCCTAAATCATAATGTATGATTCAAGAGGCGAAGGGAAGATCATTTTCTGCAAGTAGAAAAGACAGTCCATAACCAAAGCTCTGACGATCCAACATCCTGGGCCGCAGCTGGGGATGCGGCTTACTTAGGGCTTAGGGTTTAGGAATCCCCAAATCTACCTATAACCGGAAGTTATACTACTTACGTATGACCAACAGTGACATACTGGAAAGTTAGAACAACTATTTTTGATAAGAATACTCAACTAGGTTCTCTAGGCGAGCCCAACAAAGATGCTCAAGACCTTAAACCACAAGCCCGCCCTAAACCCTGAACCCTAGACCCTAGAGTACTGAAAGGATATTCTGAGGGCGGGGCTAATTCGTCCATGCGCTCCAACAGGAGGATTCCCTGCCACTCTTTCATATGAGCCATTGTCTAAACTCCCAGCATCCCCCTTCATAACCCTTATAGTA